TGAACATGTGAATGAAACCTTGATGCATGAGGAAACATCTCCTTCCTACTCTGTTTACCTGCTTTTCCTAAACCAAATAAGCCTTTTTTATATTATCTGCTTATTTATGTGTGCCTAATGATCTCTTTTGAGAAATTGTTGTCTCATACGAATCTTACCATGAAATTAAGGTTACCATGTTCTCTTACCTAGCTTAAGCTGGCAGCAGTTATTGTCCTTTGTCCAGTGCATGGTGATGTACAACTCTAATCATTCGCTGGTCCTGCAGAAGGTGTCAGTCAGCTCTGAAAATCCCTGTTAGCCCTGATAAGCTGATTGACATCAATAGCATACTCTATGCCATTGATTGTCATGGTACTTATCAAGTAGATGTGGAACATTCTTAGGGCAATGCCTGTCTTGTCTTTTTGAAGAGGTTTTGTGGAATTAAAAGCTTAGGTCATTGTTGACAGAGATTGACTAACTTAGCCTTTTGGTAAATATTTTTCAAGAGGGCTGGCAATTTCTTGACTGCACTGCATGAGCCCAAATCAGTCAACACCATCATGTATGTTTAATGGTCTTTATAGTCATTAAGTGTCTTTCTGGTGACCTCTTCATAATGCCTCAGGCATGAGCTTGCTCCGGTGCTCCTCTTCACCTCAATATTCTCCTTTCTCCATGGTGATTCTTTCCAGAAGAAACAAAAAAACTTCATTCAAATAGGTGGAGATTTCTTTATAACAGATGCAGTCCTGCATTTCATTTTTCTTGGGTAGCAAGTACTTTATTATCAAAAATTTTTTTTCCTTCCTCCTACAATCCCTGTAGGGGACTGAAGTGGACTGAAGTCGGCACAGCAGTGCATCCCATCTCAGGAAACTCTTATTGGTGCTGGCTCTTTCACATGGAAGATGGGAAAGGACAAAAACACAGAAAATCCAGGAAGCCACATTCGAGTTTCTCACATTTTACCACAGCAAACATAATTATAAGCCATAATTATAAGCACCTCTATCTTCTATGTACAAACAATATAACAATATGTACTGGTCTTATTTGTTTGGGTATGCTCAGCTAGAGGAATCTGAAGACTTGTTCCCTACCATTAGTATCCAGGGTTGTTGGTGAAGATATGAGCAGTGTGGTCATGACCTGTGATCACAGCTCTGCAACCCAGTCATTTAAACGGGGTCTTGTTTGCCTCCACTTTTCCATTCAGATGTTTAAAAGTAATTTTATGTACAGTAATGATCTAAACCACAGAATTATTTTACTGTGTTTATACTTTTTCATTGGTATATTTATTTGTTAACAAATTTTGTAAATATTATTGGCTCTGTTTTGTCATTTCTTGGTGCCTTTCTGTGACATAAAACTACGTTGTGATTTACTGGAAGAGAACTAAACAGATCTTTAACAAAGGAGACAAAGTCTTCCCCTCTGTTTGCTGAAGGGTATTTTTTCACTGAAATTTCCATCACCCTGGCATATCCTTAAGAAAATGGTAGCTGGGACAATGTACAAATGCAAGTAAGATCTCATAAGAGATAAATAACATTATGATAATGGCCCTCTTATTTCAAGTTCACCTCTTGCTAGTACTGCAACAGTAAAAAGTACTTTTCTTTTTTCCTTCCTTCTGCGATTCGTTATTTTTTTTGGTGTACAAGAACTTTCTCGAATGGTATATCTTTTTTATTTTTTTAAAAAACTTCATTACAATTATATATTTTTTTCTGATACACTGTAGTTATTACCCTGTATCATACCACAAGCCTTTAAGGAAAATGTACCAGATATTATTCTAATAGCCAAGAATATAAACACAAAAGAACTGCATGAGGGGAAAACACATAAAGATCCTGAAAGACAGTTCCCCACTGTGTTGAATGTGAGTGTAATATTGAGGGCAGCCACATCTGCACAAGTCACAGTCCTCTTACCTTGTTGACAGCTTTTTCCCCTTGCAAGTTGATGAATGATATATATGAATTACTGCGTACACCTGACAGATATCTCAGCAAGGGGCTTTTTGGTGCTGCAGCTATTGCTTTCATTCACAGCAAGGTTTCTTCACATGTAACTTGATCTTTAAGTCTTGTTGGATCATTTTAGGGACGTTCACTTATAGGTTAAAAAGCCAAACCATCTATTTCTAATAATCAGAATCATCTAATTAGGATAAAATTGGAAAACACAGTGTCCATGCATAAGAGATTAAAAGCGACTTGTGTAGTGATCTGCTAAGGGTATCCATGTCCCATGTAATCTGTTTGAACACTTTAATAGTCATTACTGGAAAACTATTCACCTGGATTATTTTGCTGCCTTTGAGGGAGCTGTTCTTAACCACTTACTTACCTGAATATCCTATACACCTAACGTAAATCATAGAATTATAGAATGGCCTAGGCTGGAAGGGACCTGAGAGATCATCTAGTCCAACCCCCCTGTCATAGGCAGGGACGCCTCTCAACTAGATGAGACTACTCAAGACTCTGTCCAACTTGGCCTTGAACACCTCCAGGGAGAACCATTCCTCTCACCAGCACAGTCCTGCACCGTGTTAGTGGTAACCTATGCTCTTCACCACTTCTGTGGGTGAGAGTGGACATTAGACTGGACTTCATCAGGAGCTCCTTGTCATAGCCAATTTCTGGTGCCAGAGCATCTTCCTTCATTTGAACCAGTAGATTTCAGTGATAAGTAATACAATTTTGAACCTCTCATAATGTAACCACCAATAAAGTACAATGATATCTCCAGCTGCAATAGCAAAATTTAGCCATTGGGAGAAGGTCTATGGAGGGACAGGCAGGATTATGAAAGCAAACAGGTGTTTCCCTCTCTGTCCCCTTCCCCCTCATCTTCACACCTCTTACTGAGTACAGAGGATGTTACATGTCTAATATCCCAAATACATCTATATTATCCTGTCATGGACATCTCATAAGTGTTGTTACTTTCCTGTGAGTGCAGAATTTAAATACCTCACACTACCGGTGCAAGCCTGTTTTCCTGCTCCACTTTCACAGTCCTTTAGATATTAATTTAGCATTTGCTTTGCCACCTTGTCTGTCTGAGGCTTTGTTATCTGTATGTTGCTGTCTCTACAATACATTCTTTGAGTACATCTTTTATATAATGCTGCTAAAAGCCTTTTGCCCAAGAAGCTATGCTGAAATACTTATTCGAATGCAAAGCAGCCCTATTGAATTAAGAAGTCCTTCTGCAGAAAAGTTGAGAAGAAGGATTATGTAATATGGAATTGTTATTTCTATCTTTTTTTAATAATTTAAATTTATAAAATGGTATCTTTCTTGCAAATCTTCTTACAAGGGATAACTATTCATAAAAAATAATGCTATAAATTTTAGAGCACTCTACTGGATTAGGTCTACAAACCTGTTCCTCTGAAATATGATAAAGAAATTAATTACAAGTAAAAAGTTTTTTTCTAAGTTGTTTGGGACAATTCATAAATCTGGGATACTGACAGCACAACACTAATTCTTTTAAATTCTCTGTAGTTCCAAAAAAAAAAAAAAAAGCACTTCAGAAAATCTATCACTTCCTGCATTCATAAAACCTGTCAGATTTTATGAGGATGGATAAAACTGCTCAAAAACTTGCCAAAGACCAAGATGAATGTTTCAAAGAAAAGGTTAAATTGCTCATAAATTTAAAATACCTTCTGTGACTTTTATCAAAAAACAACCTAGAAATGGTTCTAACTCTTCGTCCAGTAAAAAGTCCTGGTGGAAGGAGGGGAAAATTTGCCTGTACTAAGCCTCCTGAGTGGGGCTGTGAACATCAACATTGTATTCATCCCCAGCTCGGTTTAAGCTTGAAGGTAAATTTTCCAAGTGCTGGATCTGAGCTAAACATCGGTGCTCAACTTTCTCTCTTCATGAACGTATATTTTATTCTTTTGTGCCGAGTAAATTAGTTCACTTTAAATGTTAAGTATGATTAATAGTCCCTTCATTTTTATCCTAGACCTTGGATATGGTTTTTGCCCCCTGTTTATTGACATTGCAGCTGTCCTAATAAGACGTAGTCAAGAGTCCAGGCTTCAGTGAAAACAGCACCTTGTGCAGAAGGAGTCACTGACCAAAGTTTTGAATTCTGCACTGGGTGAGGACAGCAGAGTCCCTGTGTACAAAATATGTTGGGGACTCAGTGACTGCAGCAGGATTTATGAGGCTCTGCAGTACGGGAACAAGGTTTAAAACAAGCAGAGACTGATCAAAATAGACCAACAGAGCCATACAGATAAAGGTCACTTACATTAGTTACACTAAGACTAACTTGAAACAGTTAGGGCTATCTTTAAACAGCTCAAGAAATTTTAAAATAAGACAAATTAAGCTTATTTTACATCCTTAGTTATTCAGCTTTGAGGACTTAAAGGTGCTCTCTGTGATCATTATCACCAATGCCTTTCTAGAGGGAAAAAAATCCAATCTGAGATTCTCCCACAGTACTGTAACATCTGGTGCTGTTGAAAAACTGAAATATCATGTTCATGATAAACCAGCAGAAATCTGCAATGGTCTAACAGGATATGTACATTTTCAGTGGAGTTGAGTGAAAGTTTATAAATGTCACTATTTCCTAGAAAATCCCCTGTGAAAGAAGGGAGACGGGAATTACCCAGAGAAGTTTGATATTTTGTTTGATTTGAATTTTCAGTCACTTCTAGCTATTTCTTGTCAGAGTACTGCAAGCAGAAAGGGTAAAAGAAGTAGATTAATAATCTGTGTGCAGTACAGTGTCACACAGCTCCATGATGTTCCAGCCCCGAGCAAGCAAGGAAGAGGAGCAACACATGGATCTGCATGATGATCTGCCCAGCTTCATTAGTCATGTCTGCAGAGCTGATTTATTGTTTCAGATGCAATGCCATACTGTCTGCCATACCAAGCATCTGAGCCCTGAGCTGGTATTTCTGCTGGAGCAGTGTCAGCCCATTCAAAATCTGCTTCTGGCTCTTTGTGTCATGCTCTATTGTGCAGTACAGGTGTGGCCAGCAACATAGTCCTGTCCTTTGCACTATAAGGGGTCCTGTCTCCAAGTCACCTCCTCTCAGGTAAGAGTAGTGGCAAATCAGTGTTAGTAAAACATCGAATCTGAGATTTTTTTCTCCTCAGAAGTCAGTGAAGTTCAGCATGACACAGAGATATGCGTACACATGGCAGATTTCAAAATCTGTACCTTTTAATGTTGTTTCAGTTACCTGAAGTGGAAGATGAAGAACATATCATCTAAGTACAAGATTCCAATAACAAGTAAATGTAATTTGAATTATTTTACTAGCAGTATTACAGGTGCTTTACTAAACTCCTCTCAGAATCACAGATGTGGGTGTGTGCTCTTAGGCTCCAAGTTTTATTTTTAAGAAAGCTCTTTTCTTATTCATTTGAATGGTTAATGTCGTCTCTTTCATTTATTCCCTCAGTGATGGCTGGGCAGACAGGTATGATGTGACAGAAGGGTATCAGCGGGAAGCTGTCGGTGGAATAACGATCAAGCTCCAGTCTCCTGACGTGAAATGGTTTGATGATTACTACCTACAGCTTCGGCCAGAAACCAATCATCGAAATCCGTGGTTTCAGGAATTCTGGCAGCACAGGTTCCAGTGCCGCTTGGAAGGGTTTCCTCAAGAGAACCCCAAATACAACAAGACTTGCACAAGTAAGTGAATTTATTACTTCCACTGTATAAACCAGAGTGACTGAAGTTATGGTGTAAATAGCTCATGTTGGACTGGTACAGCCTGGACTGGTAGAAGTAAAGAGGCTGGAACTGCAGTCCTTGCTCTTTGCAAAATGATGACAACTACAATTTTAAAAGTATTCAGATCTCCAAGGAAACAAATAGTGCCTAACTTCTCTCTGTATTTGAAAAACTTGATGCTACTCTACCTCCATAGCATCTAAACACTTCAAAAAACGTTGTAACGTGAAATTCAATGCTTCTCTTTCTGAAAGAGGGCTCATCGTATTGCCTTAACACAGAGAAGCAATGAGAGAGTTAATATGCTCAAAGTTATCTGAAGTCCATATGGTAACGACGATTATTTGTACACTTCAGATAGAAGACTAGCTGGTTTGAAACATTTCATTAGGTTTTCTTTCAGCCATGAGTCATTTCAGGAAATGCCATTTTGAGCTGATCATTTTCATTAAATTGCACTGATTTTAGCAAAAACTGCCACAACATTTTGCCGTTTTTGCAAAACTGTGGCAATTTTTTTTTTTTTCCCCAGAAAGTTGTGATGCATTTTTCTGTATTTTTTTAAATTACTTCTTTTAATTACTCTTTATTTCATGAGCTGCCAAGCAGTACTAAGATAACGGTGCTGTGTCGGGCATTAGTCCAACCTCAGCTTTAAGCCCCACGGGATCTTCCTTCCTAAGAAGGTCAATATCTTCCACACTCCCATGAGACCAAGAAATGGCTGTAAGGATCAACATCTTAGATTTACACAGTATGAACCCTGACCTAAGTCCCACTTAACAGTCATAAGTTTTTCTTTTGATTTGGACAAGGTCTCAGAGAAGATTGTGGTGGAAATCAAACCCAGGAATCCTGACATCTCAGTTCACACCTTCAACATTCAGCTGACTTTTCTCTATTATTTTTCTTCTGCTGCCCTTCGAACACAGCCTGACACAGGTTTTCTTTGCACTATTGACAGGTACTGCATATTGAGCAGTAAACTTTATTGATTTTCCCATGATAATGTAGATCTCTTTCCTGCCATGTCAGTACAGTGGGCATGGCTGGATACAGGCTAATAAAGACCTGCTTTCTCTCACTCTGCTCTGTTAGCAATGACATTTCAACATGATTTTTTCTGGATTATTTTTTTGCTTACTTTTTACCAGTGCTGAGAATCTAACTTCTGGTTTATATGAAAGATCAGGAACTGTGAAATGTAGGTACCTACAGAGTCTTTTATAGTGATTGAAATACATCTCACCATCACAAAAAAATATCTTAGGGGTGTGGGGAGATGTTATTTTAGACAGGAAGTCACCCAGTCATGGATATGAAACAATCATAAAGCTTGAATAGCTCGGTTTGAACAGCAAGGTTTCCCACAAAGAGATCCTGAACGAGCCACAGCTCAGACAGGTTCCTAAAGCCTAGGAATGTCAAACACACAAAGAAATGTGCAAGGATCACACCTGCTGATTTGCAAGTCATAAAGAGAGAAAAGGACTAATTTCCCAAATAGATTGGTCTAATTAGTTTTTCTTCATCTTTATTGTCACATTCAGTGCTAGGCCATGATGACTATAATAAAAGAATGAAAAACAGATTATAATAGTTTTAATTTCTTCTTGTTGCTGCAGGGCAGAAAATGTTAATTTAGATATGGAGTCCCCCATATTAACAGCAATATGCACAGCAATCTATTAAAACTGCCCATTTAATCAGAATTTTCACACAGGAAGTTGTTAGACACCACGTTACTCAGTTTTATAGTTCTGATATTGATTTAGACCATCTGTCAAAGTTCATGTAAAGAAAATTCAAAGTTTAGCCAGAAAGATGACATACAGATTTACTTACTGACCATTTTGTTGTGTCATAAATGCTAGGAAACACATGCTGTTTTTCTCATAGTAGCCCCCAAATTAGACAAGGGTGTATGATAAAGAAATACCGAAGTTAGACAAGTTTGTAGATTTACCAGAAGGAAAAACACAAAGGTATTCTCTGAGAATTGCAGGAAGCAAGATTTTGGTGTTAGGAATTTAATCTCAAAATTAACATGATTTTTTGAGACTGATATATAGTTTTTGTTTCTACTTCATTTCCTATCTTCCACAGGACTTTGAAAATCTTATCTTTATATTGATTCTCACATTTGTATTTGGTTTCTTAACTTCAAGCACTCAAAGTTCTGAGTGTTAAATTCCCTCAGTTCAGACTCCACAATTGTAAAGATGACATTTGCTGTCGATGGTCCCAAGCATTTCATAAACTATCTTGACAGTTTATGCATGATGATGAATACATTAGTGCTGCTTCAGATTTATCCTGAAAAGAAAACAGGACTCTGCCCTTTAGTTTATCTAAATGAGTACATACTACAGCAGCTGCATAAAAAAAACCCAGACAAACAGAGACTCTAAAGGTGTTTCTCAGGATTCCAATCAAAGAAATTGAGCTTATTGAGAAATGATGGAAACCGAAAACCAGGCCATTCTTTACTTCTTGGAATAATGATAAAAATATATACACGAGGCTATTTAGTGTTGATAGATGAGGTCATTATTAAATAAATGTTTCAGTATAGAAAGTGATAATCATTACTTTAGTGGAAAGAAATTAGCTATTCTCCACAACCTGGTTTCAATATAATGAAAAAATAAATTATGATTAACAGTATAAATAACTCATTTAAACAGCAAGAAAATAAGTGCAAGGAGATAAGGCTGAAATTAGAAAATTGACTTCACCTATGTCCAAGGTATGAATATAGTTGCTTAAAGTTTCATATTTGCTTTGCTGATCCTTATGTAGTGAAATGGTAGGCTACATTTACCTTCATTACAGAAAATACATGAAGTCATAAGTCAGTGAAGTCAGCTACAGTGGCTTGTAAGGATTTTTAAATTTTTTTTAATATAACCTACCCACAAACAGTGTCAAGCAGGTATTATTATGAAATGAAGACATGATTTAGTAAGATATGAATTATATAACTGTAAAATAGAGCAAATACAGAGAAAGCAAAAAAAAACCAATTCAAAGTATTTTTTTCTTCATTCTTTTCTATCAGGTACTAAAGTCTCTGACCCTTCACATGAACATAGCTGACACTGAAATGCAAATTTTAGCAACAAGCCCACTTTTTCATTTGCAGATTTGAACACACTTACTTAATCCAAATGAGCATCACTGCTATTGCTAAGTACATTGATTTTCTGCCCAGATGGAGCACTACAGAATGTAGTGAGAAGTTTGCAGACTTATCTGACTTGATTTTCAGTATAATCAGTTCCATGTCACAGGAGAGCTGCTGCAAGCCACCTCCTAACACCAAAAGTCAGAGCAAAGAATTTAAAATCCATCCTTGAAAGGAGACATGCAATGGCCTCTGGACACCAGGGATTTTGCATGTATTTCATCCGGCTTCCCTTCTGGCCTCTGCCAGATATTCTTTTATTATCTAAGGCCACAATTCAGTAAAGTTTGTAAAATAGGTGTGCAAGTTGATTCAGATGAGTAAATTCACTCAACAGCCATCTTCAGGTCATAAAAGGCTAATCCAATCCTCTGGTATTGATTGTCTTTGGACCTTTGAAGACTAGGTGTGTATATTCTTGCTTTCTTACAGACAACTCTCTCCCTTTTCTTCCTAGTGAGGATGTTTCCCAAATGTGTCTTATTACAGAGCAGAAACAAAACCTAACACAAGCAAAGTATGTTGTCAAACTCTGGCTCAACTGGCATTGAGGCACTGGAGCAGACTGCCCAGGGAGGTAGTTGAGTGAATATCCCTGAAGATGTTTAAAGATGTTGTGCTCAGGGACATGGTTTAGCTCATGACTTGGTAGGGCTGGGCCAATGCTCAGACTCAGTGATCTTATAGGTCTTTTCCAGACAAAGCTATTCTATGATTCTGTGGTGGAAAAAGTCAAGTCTTCAAAGCATAAATATACAGAAACATATTTATTACATTTACCAGTCTGTTAAATGAATTCCTTTACCTCTGCTGCTAAGTGACCCAATTTCTTCTCATGCTATGTAAAAGGCAGAGACATGGATGGAATTGCGTTTTTAAGGTGTTACCTAAACACAGAGCAAGAGCAGAATACATATCTCAAGTATCTGTGATCTTAGTGTAAGACAAGAAAGAGCAAATAAATAGAGGCTGATGTCGATGAAGCAATGCAACATGTTAGTTTGACTGGCAGAGGTTACAGACTTCAGAAAAAAATGGTATTTTCATGTGAAGGAACAACAGAAACAAGAATTTGACAGAAGGTGAGGGGGCACATGTGTAGGTATTTACAGCAGGGTCCTGACGTTAAGTACTATGTTTCAAAGAAGTGAGGGAGAGAAAACAGAAAGTGAAACGATGGAGGCTGGGTAAGCACAAAGATCAACCACAGCCAGGGCACAGAGGGCACTGAAAGTGCACAAAGTGCTTTTGTCTGACATGCTTGGGAGCAAGGAGCCAGTGACAAGGTTTATAGGGCAGAACATACTCAAAATGATGAACGGGGAGAGTGAGCAGCATTTTGAAGGGGTCTTAGCAGGATGAAGAAATCCAAATAATCCATTAATGATTTAACCATGTGCCTTCTCTGAGATAAAAACACTTTTTCCAAGGGTGCCAATATTGACCTAGATGGATGACCAAAATATTGCCAACAGGATTAAGAGTAAAAAAGTTTATTTGCAGCAAGGGAGATTAGGGAAATTTGGGTTAAACATGAGAAAAGTTTTGCAGCTCAAGGTAGAGAAGGACACATAAAATGTAAATGCAGAGAATTATCTACCTGTTTGCTGAATCTCAACCAGCTCCAGCTGCTTTTAATGAAGTCAAAAGGACCCACAGTTTTAGCTGCACAAGAATTTGGTTTAACAAATGGCTCTTTTGGGTTTCCAGACAGAACTAAGAGATAAAACATGAGTGTCTAGTCTTTGCACTGCAACATGCTAATAATCTG